ATATCAGAGCCCTGAGGCCAAGAGTCCAGGACTGTACTTCCTGACCGGCACCCCATCCTCAAATCTCAGGAGAATGGATAATAGCTTCCAGCTCTGGGAGCTATTATGTCTCTAAATTGTATTGCTTTTGTACTACACTACTTCTCCGAAGATATTATTGCTTTGCACATGTTAAGTAGCCATGTTAGTATTGAGGGTAATAATTTTCCAAGTGAGGAAGCAAGTATTTTTAATTACAGAAGGAATTCATATTCTCCAAGTATAAAAGTCTAATGCTAAACCCATTTCTATAATATCTAAGTATGTTTACACAAGTTAATAAACACATCATCTCACACTCCAGCGATGAACATGCTTCTCACTACTAATTTTTCACATGTGTATGTATATATTTTATTACATTTTTCAAAGTGAAATAATTTCAAGTATATTGTTTTCACTACCCAGTACTTAGGGCACTGGAAGAAAATTCCCTAAGCAGTTTTATGATAAAGCCAGTTCTAAAAAGCTTGGATATGGTCACAGCATGCTTCAAATAAAATCTTAATTGTTTTCTCTAACATCTCTTCTGCGCTGTGGCTGCTGCAAATCTGGCCCTGTATTTTTCTAGTTTGGCTTTACTTCCTAGAGAATTAGCAGAATCAAAGGCTTCGGACACTTTGATGACAGGTTGTGGTTAACATGTGAGAAGTTGCAAGAATTAGGCAAAATGGGTTCCCAGAAATTGGGGACAGGTTTTTAAAAATAGCATCATCTGAAATTAAAGTTTGTTTGAAATCATTTTAAATTTCTGAAACCTGAGAAAGGATTTCCACTTTCCACGTGCGTAGAGGAGGGTGTTCTTACAGGGTTGGGGAAGAAAACTAGTTTCCTGTAGCATTTTCTCTGTGTCAGGTGCGTGGCATCCATTCTCATTCAATCATTGCAACTTCCCTCTAAATAGGAGTTATTATCCGCATTCCACAGATGAGAGAAGGAAGCTTCCGGATCACATGGCCTCTGCCGGGCAGGACTAAAATTCCAGCCGTATGTCTCTGGTTCCAAAGTGTGTGTCGCTACTGCATGATACAGGAAACTGAGTCAGTATCACACAAGTCAGCATAAACAGTTCTAATTAAATGTAAGTTATCCTGGGCACTGTCCCCAAAATGGAACGATGTGCTTACAGATTAAATTTTAAAACAAAGCAAATTGAACAGGGATCAAAAATTGTCAAATTGCAGCCTCAGATCCATTTGTCATATATGACTGTTTGCAAGCCTCAAGGACAGAACTGAGTAGTGACAGAGACAGCACCACTCCCAAAGCCCACATTATTTACTACTTGACCCTCTACGGAAAAGTGTGCCAGAAAGTACACAGAATAGAATCTTCGTTGATCAATGTCTAGAGCTGTCCCGGGAAGATAAATTAAAGGTCTAGCAGACACTGGAAACCATACATTTTGTGGGCACATGAGAATCTGCTTACTCGGCCTCAGCCTGGAAGTCATATTGTATAAGAGGAGTCAATTCCCCTTGGCCTGATCTATTACCCATCAAGGAATCTCATCAAATATTCTCAAAGGCTCATGATAACTGAAAACATGTAAGGAAAAAACTAGACAAGATAGCTGTTGTGAAATGTAACCAATCAGTCACTGGCTATTCTGAATTCAAAACTGCCTCATTATGAATCTAATCTGAATGGTGGTCATCTAGTTGTGATCATATCTGAAAGGCCAATGAGCTGGGGATTTAGCTCAGTGGCATAAGCGTCTGCCTGGCAAGTGCAAGGTCGTGAGTTTGATCCACAGTACCAAAAAAAAAAAAAAAAAAAAAAAAAAAAAAAAAAAATGAGGATTCACATTAACACAAAAAACAGATAATGGAAAATGTTCAGTTTGGGAGATTCAATCACCAATCTCTCAATCAATTTGTTCTATTAGCATCTTTCATGCATTAAGTGAGTTAAAAGAATAAATGAGTTTAATTGATGTAAAAGTCTTCACACCCGTATTGTATATATCCATGTCCTTTATTTGATTTTTGTCAAAACAAAACAGACAACATGAAACTCTGAATGGCAATTTTTGAACAATTCACTAGCAATTGTGGACTACAAGGTAGTTGAATTCACATTAACCAAGTTGGTTTTATGAGTGATCATTGACTTTCTAAAGTAATACAGAAGAAAGCCTGGAAAATCACAAAAAATAAAATAATAAAAGTTGAAAGTAGTTTTTAAAAGACCAAAATTAAAATAACTCAGTAAAAAAAATTTTAATAACTTTCAAAGAATTTTCTCTTAATTTGAAAATACATTTGAGTTGGTAATAACAAGCACTTAATTTTAATCTCTGTATACACACATGCATGCATAAACTATTAACTTTTGGACAATTTTACATTTACAGAAAATCGCAAAGATCAATACAGAGTTTGCAATGTACTTCCTCACCAGTTGTCCACTACAGGACATCTGATGTTAGTTGGAAACATTTGTCACCAGCTCCTTTTTTTGTCTAATGTCCTTTCTGGATTGGTGCCTGACAGCCAATGAAATACTGGCCACGGAGGTGGGATTGTGAGATTGGTCTCCCAACCCCGGCAGCCACAGGCAACTGAGCACAGCAGCTGACCCGTGAGTGGGGCCGGCTCAGTGCTGGAGGGACATGCGGGGAGCGGGGAGTTCTGAGGCAGGCTTTGCTAACCCAGCACGAGAAGGAATTCCGGGAAGACAAGAATGTCTATCACAGATCTGCCTAAGGATAAACGGCCAGCGATGTTCATGATACCATAATTGCCTGACTTTTCTGAAAAGTATTTCTAGAAACCTTTGAAGTTCCAAGATTCAGGAAAACAGAAACATTGTATCCATTTCTTGGCTTTCTTTGTATTTCACTGACAGATACCCTACTTAACACAGCCTTTTCTTTACTATAGAGAGACAGTGTGGTGAGAGACAATATTTTCTTTTCTGTAGAGAGACAATATGGTGTTTATACATGCAGGTCTGATTTATTTTGAGTATGGTCTATAGTTTACCTATAATGGCCTCTAGTTTATCCTTCTTTATAGCTGAGTAGTACACCATTGTATAAAAATGCCACATCTTTTTTATCCATTCCTCAGTTGATGGACATTTGGGTTGCTACCAAGATCTGGCTATTACGAATTATGCTGCTGTATATATGGGTGCACATATATCACTATGGTTTGATGTTTTCAATTCAGGACAAATACCCAGAAGGGAGATAGCTGGGTCAAATGGAAACTCTAATCCTAGTTTTTTGAGGAATCTGCACACTCATTTCCACAATGGTTGCACTCCCACCAACAGGACAGGAGAGTTCCTTTTTCCCCCCAGCCTCTCCAGCATTTGTTGGTGGTAGTTTTCTTTATCTTGGCCATTCTTTCTGGAGTGAGATGGAATCTCAGGGTTGTCTTAATCTGTACTCTCAAATGACCAGTGATACTGGTCATATTTTCACATATTTATTTGCCATTTGTATTTCTGCATCTGAGAACTGTGCATTCATCCCAGATCCCCATTTTTGGATTGGGTCTTTGAATTTTGCGGCCCTGATTTTTTTCTTCAGTTCTCTATATGTTCCAGATAGAAGTCCTTTATTTGAGTGATGGTTCTGTAATTTATTTTATTACTCTCCCATTGGTGGACATCATTTCCAGTCTTTTGTGCTGCAAGCGATGCTGTAATGTATAAGCTGAGAAAAGTACTTCCACAGGTGTAGGAAGTATCCACAGGATGCAATTACTACCTTTTCAGCTTTCGTCAAAGTTCCATTTTCACTGCAAGAATCCCTGTTGCATTGGGTAAAAGTACTCACCTTAGCACCTTTTGTTTGTTTAATATAAAAGAATCATTCGTGGCACTGAAACTACTTCCAAATTGCACATCACATACAATGATTTGTGACAACCTTGACTTCCTCACTGAGAACAATTGCTTTCTAAGATCTTTATTTGTGTGACTGGAAGTAACAGTTGGGGCGCAGATAAAATAATGATCCCACTGATCACGCCAGGAAGAGGAGATGCTCCTGGGGCGCCCAGCCACCCTGCGGAGCAGAGCAACTCACTTCCTGTCCCCCCTCCTCCCAATTCCACTTGACAGCTCAGCAAAGTCCCTGGGTCTGTGGCTTCTCAGGAAGCTTGTGAATGTCCAAAATTTTGCAAATATTTCCTATCAGAGTTCTTAAAACTGTAATCTCCGGGCTATTTCAGCTCACTCCCCTTTGCAAGAGGCAGGAAAGCTAAATGCATTCTTTTCTAGTTCCGGGTCCTAGAGGCCGGTGCACACTGAGCAATTTGTGCAATCCGTTGTGGATTACACGGTGCCCTGTGACTTGGCCATGGAAGCTCAGTCATTGTTGCTAGCAACAAAGTGATGGAATCCACGATGATAAAATTACTATGACGTAAGAACTAACATTTAACAGGTGTTGGCGATGTGTCGAGCATGGTTAAGAGCTTTAGATACGTTCTTTTTAAAACTCCATGTCTGCAGAACACAGTGACCTTACTCCTTGTGGGGAGTCGGTACATGTCTGTATAAGTTAATTCTTTTTTCATTTCCTTTGCCTCTCTCCCCTCCATCTCCTGGTCTCTTACCCATTTTCAAAAGATCTATCTTTCCCTTTGCTATTACTATCTTTTCATTTTCTGTTTAATTTATACTTTGGGTTTCTCATATAAGAGAAATCACGTGATACTTAAGCTTGTGTGTCTGATTTATTTCACTTAACATTATAGTTTCAAAGTGCATCCATCATCCTACAGATGATTTAAATTTTTATTTCTTTATGGCATAGTTGTACTCCGTTGTATATAAATACCATTTAGATTTCAGTCCTTTGCAGATTTACATCTAGGAGCCAGGAGCACTCACCTCTTTTCCCCGAATGCCCTCCCCCAAAGTAAACTCTGAAGACATTCTTATTTGTTTGAAGAGCTACAAATATGGAAACATGACCAAAAGAGGGAACACCGACGGGAACCAGTCTTCCACACCTTTTTGACTAACTTCCCTGTATTCCTTGGAGGCTAAAAATTGTATGAGGAGGAAGAAAAAAGAATTGTATAGATGTGCTGCAGGGTTGGGACAGAGGCCACTTACAAAGAGACTCTCGATGGCAAGTAAGAGCTTAGTCTGCCTCAGGGCAGCACCTGGGATGGCATCAGCCCTCTCTGATTTTGTTTTTTATTTTAATTTTTTGGTACTGGGGATCGAACTCACGACCTTGCACTTGCCAGGCAGGTGCTTATGCTTGCTAAGCTAAATCCCCGGCCCTTTAATTTTATTTTTATTAGTACATGTTCGAAGTACATAAAACCTATGTTCCTCATGGGGAGTTGATAACATGTACACCTTAATTCTTTTTTCTTTCCCTTCTCTTCCCTCTATCCCTTGTCCCCACCTGTCTTTTGCTAAAGAGTACACGTGGCAAGACAAAGACCAGGAAGGGTTTTGAGGGTTGCCATGTATCGATAATAATTAGCTCTGTTTAATGGTTCATTAAGCGACAGCGTGCTCAAGGGCCAGAAACTGGTAATCAGTGCATTAGACAGTCCTCAGAAGCTGCTCAAGTGTTCTTAGGAGAGGCGTTTGGGAGCGTGCCTTTTAAAACACAATCAGCTCTCAGGCCAGTTTCATAAGCATCTGTCTTTCAAAAGAAGTCTTTTGAGATGGGGTCCTGGGTCTTTAATCATGGAAGAAGACTGTCCGGTCAACAGGCTTTACTCTCACTGAGAGCAGGGAGAAGACCTCGGAGCAGCTGTCATGAGGGGTTACTGGCAACAGGGTGGATGTGACACAGGTAAACACACACACTCAAGCCAAGAGGTAAGTAAAAGGCCACATGGCTCTATCTCTTTGATATCTATTCAGTTTGAACTCTACCCTTTGCAGTCACTTGGTGTTTGTTCCTTCTGAGTCCACCAGGGAAGTGGGCCACTCGGTGACTGCTGGCTGTGACCTGATGGACTGGCCCAGCTGAGTACAGCTTGCTTGTTTGTGGTCGAGGGAGAAGATCCTGTGGGATCCCATCTGCAGCCCCTGGAAGCAGGCCCTGCCTGGAAGCATGGGCTAGGTCACCGTCACCCTGGCCTCTCCCCGTTATTTCTGAGAATTCCTGGAACAGTCGATGGAAACAGCTGTCTCGGCCAGCACAGCCACTCTCTCGGGAAGCTCCGAGCCCAGTGAATATCACAGCTTGCAGCCTTCTGGGTTTCCAGATCCCTTGCTTAGCACTGATAAGTGATTGCAAAAGTGAAAATAAAACTCAAGATCATTTTGGGTGTTGGTAATTATATATAAGACAGGAATAGAAACCGAAAGCAAGATAACTGGACTTCATAATGATCGGGACTTTTTTGGCACTTTGTGTTAAAGAGTTTTCTGGTGCAATAAAGGAACAGAGTATAAAACAAAGGTTTTTATTTAAAGGACATGGAGAAGGAGCCCACAACCAGCAAGAGTTTGGCTTTGTCCTCTGCCCGAACATGAGGGTGTGGGGTACAAGGTGATGTTTGGCCTTCTACCCTGTTGGATTACTGCCATAATGTTCTGTAATTTATTCTCAGGCAAAACTCTTTTACTTGGGGAATCCATAGTCCTTATATCTCTCTTGAATACATATCGTCAATGATACAGTGTTAATTTTGTCCTAGACTGCAGTAATTCATAGAAAGCTAGGGCAGGCTGGATTTCAAAGGTTCCCTATTCCACACCTTTGTATTACAAATTTGAACCCTGGGATATTATTGTTATTCACCGATGCCAATTCCTGGGGTAGAAAGAACAGGAGGCTTAGAAAGAGGAAGTCTGGACTTGCATCTTAACCTGACACTTCCTGGCTGAGACCCGAGACCCGACCGGAGCAGCCAGTGACCCTGAATTTCTTTATGGGCAAATTGGAGCGACCTAGGCAGCAGTCTATGGATGCCCCTAGGAATGGTGGGGTGCCACCAGGCACTTGGTGAGAAATTGGTTCTTACAGAGGCAAACTAGTAAAATTTACACAGAAACAGAAAAAAAAAGGCACCTTTAAAAAAAAATAAACTGGGCATGGTGGCTCACGCGTGTAATCCCAGCACCTGGGAGGCTAAGGTAGGGGGGATCCTTGCTAGTTTAAGAACAGCCTGGGTTACACAGTTAGCCCAAGGCCAGCCTGAATTGCACAGTGAGACCCTGTCTCAAAAAATAATTTTAAAAAACAAAACCAAAATAAAATAAAATCATAAAGTTTTAAATTTATAATGGGAAAAGTTTTTAAAGGCTGTTTTCTTTGTGCCCAGAGAGTAATACCTGTCCACTGTACAAGTAAATTTTAAATACCCAGATAATGCGGACAGTAAAGTGAGAAGTGAGATTCCTTCTAATTCCTGGTGAATGTTTCCAACTATGTCCGAGAAGGAGAGACAGACAGAGGGACAGGAGTGTGCTGTGTCTGTTCTTGCCACAAATCAGATACTGCTACCATCTTTCAACATTTGATAGCACCCAGAATTCCAAACAAAGTGAATTGGCTGTACTATGGGGGAAGCTGATCTGATCGTAAGCATGATGAAAGCAAATGAATAAAACGCAAAGAAAACAAATGCCAGAGTGTGGACGGGCGTGGTGCTAAGGCCTCATGCACTCACTGTGTGACATCTTTTCCACCCCCAGAGACATCCAGAAACATTACCATCTCCATTTTTTTTTTCAAATGAGGAACTGATGTCCAAAGAAGTTAAAAACATCATCTGATTAGGAAGTGTAAGCAATTAGGTCTGTTTGGCAGCAGGCACTTCTGAGACCTAATTTTATTGGCTTGGGATTTGTCGCCCTGAAGTTACCCATGCGTATCATTTAAAGAATCAAACAGGTCTACAACGTTCTGAAAACAACCATTCCCAGCCTTTCTCCCCACCCCATTCCTTACTCCCTAAGGCAACTACTCGCCCCACCCTGCCCCTCTGATTCATCAAGTATTTCCCTCCAGGTTGCTAGGAAAACTGCAGGGAATTGTGACTCAGCGGTTCCCGCCCGAGGCTTGCCTTAGGGTCACGCCACTCCAGCAGTGAGGGTGCAGCCTCTTTTTCTCTCATTCCCCACTCGTGCACGCATGGCCTCCACCCGTCATCCCCCGTGGAAACACCAGAATCATCATTATATTAATGGTGTCTGCACTGTCAGGAGCAGGAAGATGCTGTTCACAGCCAGTCCCTGTGGGTCACGCACACGGGGACAATGTTTCCTTCGGTACACTGGCTCTTTATTTTCCCTGAATTCCAGTCTGGGTTTTTCTGCTGTTGTTTGCTTGCGTTTTCTTTCATTTGCATACTACCAATTGCAGCTCTTGGTGATGTAGCTCTGCTTTTGCTGTGTAGCCAGCTGCGCTGGGGACTCCTCTCCTTGTCTTCCCAGGAGACAGACTTGCTCCCAGGTGGCCCTCTGTGCTCCAGCCCTCGCTTCGGGCTGCGTTGCAGCTCCCTTCCTGGTTGTCCTGAGGATTCTCGATGCCTGGCTATGGTCTCAGGTCTTCTTTCCTCATTCCTGTGTCTCCCTCTGCCTGGCTTGTGCCTGTTCTAGTGAAGGACACAGTTTAGGAGCAAAGTGCAAAGGAAGTAAATGATCATAGCTGAACATATCAGTGTATTCCAACCCTGGAACCCCACCCTACATATGGAGCTGAACCCAGGGCCTCTGCAGTGAGCTACATCCCCAGCCCCTGCCCCCCATTAAAAAAAAATTTTTTTTTTTGAAACAGGGACTTGCTAAATTGCTAAACTGTCCAGGTTGAGCTCAGGCTTGCAATCCCCCTGCCTCAGCCTCCCGAGTGCTGGGATTACAGATATGAGCCACCTCGCCTGGCTTTCCTCTTCTTCCTAGATTTTCCTAACTTTATTTTTTGCCCTTACACTGCACTTTTCATTTCTAAGGTCCCATTTTTAACGCAGAGGTTTACTTGGAGCTCACTGAAAACTCCTTTTATAGATAACTCTGTTATTGTTTCATATCTTATCTCTCTGAAGACAAAGCCTTTGAGTTAATTTTTCTGTTGGCTAAGTTTGCTTCTTTCCAGTTGATCTCTTCTGTTTTCAGTCTCTGACGGTGAATAATTGGCTTTCCTCAACTCTTCGGCCATCCCTGGCTCCCCAGTTGTGTTTTAAGGCAAGGCATTTGTAAGGGGGTGCTCTGGGTGAATCAGAGTCCTCTGCGCGAGTTTTGCTCCAGGTTGAGGTGACGGAGGCCACCACACTGGACTGGTGTCAGGGTCTTCTCCCTGGAGCTGCAAGGAGGCTGCTGAGACAGCCTCCTCCCCTGGAAACCGAAGCCTGCTACCAGAGTCCTGGGGCAGGGAGAGGAAGTGGCTGAGGAAGTCAAAGGACACTGCTTACACATTTGCTGTTTCTTTTCCTTCCTAGTATGCTTGCAAACACCACGTTCCCATTCATTTAAGGAGTGGGAACCTGTACTTCACAGTGATTCTTTTTATTTCTCTTTTCCTCCCCACACGCCTCCCTTCCTTCATCTCTAGATTCCTTTTCCCTATTTATCATTATCATTATTATTATGGATAGTATTTTTTCATGTAGGTTTGTGGCCTAATGATTACTGAGAGTAGTTGATACGTGTACAGGAGACGTCTTAGATATCTTTCCAGCCTCCTTCTCACCCACACACGCCATCTCTTGGTTCCCTTCCCATCTGGAAGAGATCTATCTCCCTGTTTCTTTTTATCAGTCTTCTATTTTGTTCTTTATTTATCCTTGAATTACTCAACAGAGAGACCATTGGTATTTAAGCCTGTGAGTCTGATTCGTTTCACTGAACACATCTCTAGACGACTCCACGTCTACACATGTCTCAGGTGTATCCTTCTCAGGTGGCTCCATTGTGTACAGATGCCACTTTTCCTTCTCCACGTGCCTGTCTGTGACACATAAGCACAGCTGGCATGGAAAATGCACAGAGATTCCCACTTGGCCCAGGTACTCCCCTCTTGGTATCTTCCCCAAAGAGCTTGAGGTGTCCTATTACAGCACTTTGTGTACCCCACATTTATAGCAGCATGCTTCCTAATGGCTAAATCTTGGGTGCAGCCTACAGGCTTACTCTGGGTGCTTCAGCTTCCATGTCTCAGCCTTTCCCCTCACAAGCCAGGATCCCAGGATTCTGTGACCAGAATGAGCTGTAGGAAGAGGGCGGCACCCACCTGACAGTCAGACGGGGGAGTCCGCGGTCCACCGGGCCCTTACAGTGAGTTCCACCAAACCCCCAAGCCGCCCTCACTCCTAATTCCTGACGCACCTTTTGCTCCGAGTTTTAGGGCTCTGTGGCTGAAGTCGGGCTGTTTCCCACCAGGCTTAAGCCTTAGCTTTCTTCAAGTCCTGCGGGAGTTCCTGCGTCTCCGCGGCTCCTTACTAAGTGTCACTGCTGCCTCTCCTACCCATGGCCTTTGTCTTTGTGTATTTACATTTTGTTAAAAGTCATTTTGTTGTCTCCGAGCTGGATCCAGGAGGAAAGAGATTTGAATGCTTCTGTCCAAGCAAACAGCGTCACCTGGCCGGCCACAGAGCTTACAGGGCTGCCAGTGCGTTAGTTAGCCAAGTCCTCTACAAACACGAATGTAGCCTTGAAGAAATGAGATGACCACAGATTGGACAAAACGTCCATCAGAGCCTTCCAATTTTTTGTTTGTTTGTTTTTTGTTTTGGGGGAGGGACCAACGATTAGACCTGGGGCTGTTTACCACTCAGCTCCATATCCAACTCTGTTTATTTTCCTTTTATTTTATTATTTTCTTGAGACAGGGTCTGACTAAGTTTTCCAGGCAGGACTCAAACTTTAATGTTCCTACCTCAGTTTCCCTGGAATTACAAGTATGGACTACCACACCCAGTTGGCTTTGTTGTTGTTGTTGTTGCTTTTTGTTTGTTTGTTTTGAGACAAGATCTGGCTTTGTAGTTCAGGCTCGCCTTGAACTCTCTTAGTAATCCAGGAATTTGCTGAGATTCCCCTGCGCCGGCCTTACAGGCGTGTACCACCATGCCTGGTTGTGGCTGTATGTTTATTTTTAGTCCATCTCCACCAGAAATCTTCTAGAACCAGCTAAGCATGTCCCAAGTAAAATTCAACACTTACATCCAAGTGTGGGAGCTGCAGGACACCCCCAGCTTTTCAGTGGCCCTCGGTGGACAGCTGGTGCTCATCCCACACCCCAAGGCCTCCCTGTCCTCACAGGAGTCCGCCCTGCCCTCTGCCTCCCCAACTTTGGCTGCTGTCTGAGGGGCTCTCCCCTTC